AGCTGACCGAGGAAGCTCGGAGTGTGGCACGTGGTATGGAGCGGCATGTCGACCTCGGAGCCTTCCAGGGCATCGTAAGTTCTCGTCGGGACTCTGCGAGTGGGCCCGATGCCATCCCGCATCCCTGCTGGAAGCATGCCAGGGAGGCTGCTCGTCGCGTGCTACCTGGCGCAGGCGAAGCCCCATGTGCTGGCGCTGCCCTTCCGCCCGGCTTCCACTCATGGGCAGGCCGTCTTGTTGCCGAAGGGCTTCCTTCCGCATGACACTCAGGGCCCCAACTCCGCTTGGTGGACACATCGCGACGGGGGGCGGGTCGCTATCCTCCTCCTCCTCCGCCTTCTCCTCCTCCTCCGCCTCCTCCTCCTCCTCTTCATCCTCCTCCTCCGCCTCCTCCTCTTCCCCCTCCTCCTCCTCCTCCTCCTCTCCTCCCTCCTCCTCCTCCTCCTCTCCTCCTCCTCCTCTTCCCCCTCCTCCTCCTCCTCCTCCTCCTCCTCCTCCTCCTCCTCCTCCTCCCAGTTCTGCATGGCACTCAGTCGATAGTATGGCCATCGGGACAGGCGAGACCCATCACTCTGAGTAATACCGACAGCAAGTTACCTGCGTCCTCTATCTGCGTCCCTATGGGGCTTTAGGCAATGCGCTCCACTGATCCGATGCAGCAAGGTTTTGCAGCAGGAAGGTACCTGGTGGATAATATTGTGAGTATCGAAAGAAAGCTCCTGGACTAAGCCTGCCATCATGATTGCCCGCTCGCTGGCCTCATTCTGCTGGGTACTAAGGCGGCGTTTCCGTCGCTGCCTCACCAATGGATTCACCGTGTTCTGCAGCAGATGGGTATCCCTTGTTCTGCACGCAGTCAGGCAGCTCTACTCCGACATTTACTCAATTACCCACGGGATCAAACAAGGTTGCCCCCTCTCGGGGCGCTGTTTGCTTTGGCTTTCGACCCCGCCCTTCGGAAGTTCCGCAAGCTCATGATGTAAGTGCCCACTCCGGCCGCCCCACCTGCCTTTGCTGACGACGCTGGCGTGGCCATGGGCGATGTCCAGCAGACGCTGCAGAGCTCCGTCGTCTCGGGCCTCCGCGAATTTGAGGAAGTGTTTCATCGTTCTCACTCGCGAGCAGGATCGGACCGAGCTTATTAACGAGTTTCTGATGTGAGGGGCCAGCATGGGAAACATCTCGGAGTTATGATAGGGCCCTCGGGGCCTGCTGCTTCTTGGGCCCCTGGTGTTGTCAAGCTCCTCTCCAGGATCGGGCACGTCAGAAAGCTGGGGTCAGCTTTGGCCCAGAACATCCACGCGTGCAACTCTTTGGCCTCTTCTGTGCTGGCGTACACGCTGCAGGTGCTTCCCGTCGGGCCCGAGGTGACCCGAGCTGAAAGGACTGCTCTCCAGAGGCTGACCTCCCAGGGACCCCGCACGCCATGCCCACCTCTCTTCCCCAGCACTTCTTGGATATCGGATTTCCTGTGGGGCCTCGGGATCTCCTGGCATCCAGTCGTGCCTCTATGTTTCCGATCGCCCTTGAGAGTGACGCCTTTCGACCGCGTCAAGGAAGGGTTCCACTGGCTTGAAAGTTTGACGTCGAGAGACTGGCAGTGGTACGTCGCAGAGGGTGGCTTGGTTATTCTATTTGCGGGTCTCTTAGTGAGGACTAGCACAGGTTTACTCAGATTCGCCCCCTCGTAGACGAGTGTACACATGATCTCCACGGAAAGGTGACCATGATGATTGCCAAGGAAATCGAGCGACCCTCCATCCCCGTCTTTTTTTTCCCGAGGATCCGACATTTCTGGAGTGAGACCCCATATGAGTCACAACAATTTCTTATACTGGGCCCCTTCCTTTGCCGCTACCAAACGGGCCCCATGGTTTGCTCCCTCTCTGCTTATATCCATTTGTAATGCCTGGCCGACTAGTGCTCGTTTTCGGCCTGGTAATAGGTGCTGCCTTATGAGCTGTGGAGCTCAGGATAGGATTCCGATCATACTATACACTACGTACAGTGCCCTGTGCGTTTGCCTCTTCTACCCATCGTTATCCCGTCGCTGCCTCCCGAGTTTGCCGTGTGGGATGCCATTGAGCGTATTTTGCTGAGGCCCCGAATGCCTAACACGAGAGCATTGCGTGGTGCCATTCCTGTTGCGCAACATCTTTCCCACAGTACATAACATTGTGAGGGTGAAAAGGCTTCTCGGGGGATTTGCCTGGCAGGATCGAAGCCCTGATGAGGGCTCGTGCACGCGCCATCGCCAAGCGCAAGCGTGCCATTCGAAAGCTGCTCATCAAACGAAGCTGAGCCCCCCAATGGAACCTGACATCATCAGCATCATCACCATCATCATCGTTATCACCACAATCACCACCACCACCATCATCATCATCATCATCATCAGCATCATCATCATCATCATCATCAGCATCATCATCATCATCAGCATCATCATCATCACTATCAGCATCAGCATCATCGTCGTCATCGTCATCTTCATCGTCATCGTCAGCGTCATATCCATCGACATCGCCATCATCAACATCATCATCACCAGCACCATGATCACCACCATCAGCATCATCATCCGCTTCGTATCTACCCTCCTTCAACGCCTCCACCCTTCCCCTTCCCCCCCTCCTCCCCCTCCTTCCTCTCTCCTCCCTCCTCCCCCCTCCTCCTCCCCCATCGTCTTCCTCCGTCTCCCGCTCCACCCCCCAGCCCCCCTTTCTGTCTTGGGTGCTCGCGTGCCTCCTCCTCCTCCTCCTCCTCCTCCTCCTCCTCCTCCTCTTTGATCTCTGGCCCGCGGCCTGCTCGATGGGACTTGCGTCAGCACGGAAGGTGCGGTCAACGGGTGGAGGGTTGGAGGGAGAGAGGTAGAGGAAGGAAGGACGGGATGGAGAGAGGCAAGCGCCGAGAAAGAGAGAGGGGCGAGGGGAGGGGGGAACGGGCAAAGGGCAGGGAGAGCCGTCAGTGCAGGGAGTGTTGGAGGGAGGTAGAGAAAGGGAGGGAGGCAAGCGTTGAGGGAGAGAGGAGGGGATGAGAGGAAGGTGGGGGAAGAAGAGGGGGAGGCGTTCGTGGAGAAACGCGTTTCCAAACCGCGATGTGCTCCAAGAGGCCTAAAAAGAGGCGCCAAGAGGCCCCAAACGGCCCCAACGAGGCTCCAAGAGGCCACGAACGCGCAAGCAAACGCCTGCGATGGCACAATACGGGCCGGAGGAATGAGCGAAGCGATTAATAATGACGCAGGTGAAAGGAGGATGGGAAGTGGGGGGGGGGGGACGGGGGGAGAGGTGGGGGATGAGGGGGGGAGGGGGAGGAGGGAAGGGGGAATGGGGGGAGAAGGAGCGGAGGGAGAGGGGAGGGGGAGGGGGAAGGACAGGGGGTAGGTGGGAAGGGGTTGGAACAAAGGGCGGAAAGAGAAGAAGAGGTGGGGGGTTAGGAGAGGATGAGGAGAGGGGAGGGGAGGATGGGAAGAAGGGGGCCGATTGCAGTGGAAGGGAAGGGGGCATGGTTAATCTTGAGGACGGATGGGGCAGGATTGGGGGGAGGGAGGGGGCAAGCGAGGCCGGGGAGAGGAGGGCGGGGCGGAGGAATGAGGGGATCTCCTCGCTGGGTGAGGGAAGGGGGAGGGGAGGGAGAAGGGACTTCTGCTTCGCGGAGCCGCGTAACTGACAAGTGGTGGCTGAACCCCGCAGTGTGAGTCTCATCTCTTGCTCTCGCCTGGATCTGAAGCCAATGCCTCGTGGGCAGAGGACCACTCGGGAGGCCTCCAGGGGGCCTCCTGAGCTCTCGTGACGGTCTCTTGGGGGGCTTTCGGCGGGCTCTTGGCGGTATTTGTTGGTCCTCTTGGGGCCTGGGGCCTGACGTTGTTGGTCCTCTTGGGGCCTCACGGGAGCTTATTGGGGCGTCTTGGGGGTGTCTTGGAGAGTCTCTTGGGGCCTCTTTCGGGGTCCTGGGCGCCTTCTGGGGCGGAGGGCTCGATTTTTCAGTTCTCGGTTCCCTTCTTGAGCCCCTCTTGGGCCCGTCTTGGGGCCTCTTGGTCCGCCTTGGGCGGCACTTGGGCCGTCTGGGGGGCGCTCTTGGGCCGCTCCGGGGCCGTCTTGGGAGCCTCGTGGGCCGTCTTGGAGCAGTCTTGAAGGCCTCTTGGGCCCTTGGAGCGTCCGGAAGCGAAAAGGCCAGAACGGAAAAAAACATCGTAAAAACCAAGGAAAATCAACGATTTTGGCAACTTGGAGCCCTCTTCGGAGGCCTCTTGGAAGGCCCTTGGAGCGTCTTGGAGGCCTCTTGGGCTGTCTTGGGGCCATCTGGGGCGTCTTCGGGCGATCTTTGGCCGTCTCGGGCCTCTCTTGGACCGTCTAGAAAGCTTCTCGGGGCCCTCTTGGACCGATCTGGAGCCCTCTTGGACTCCGAAACAGAACTCCGGCATCTCTGGCCCGACCTTGCCGGGACCTTGCCGGGGACTTGCCGGGACCTTGCCGGGGTACTTTTCGTCCGGGGACCCCCAGGGGCCGCCCCGCGCGCGCGAACTAGACATACTGTTAACCAGGTACCGGAGATCTTAGCACGCCCTGGCCCGTTGGGCCGGCGAATTCCCTCTCCCCCCTATCCCCCCCTGTCTCCCTATCCCTCCCCCCGTCCCCTCCCCCACGTCCCACCCTTCTCCTCCCCTCTCCCTTCTTCTCCCTTCCCATCCCTCCCTCCCCTTCACCCCGCCCCCCCCCCCGCTCCGCAAGAGAAGCACCGATCCTCCGGCGTCCCGTCCCCCTCCTCCCCCTGCCTCCCCCCCTCCCCTCCCCCTCCCCCTCCTCCTCCTCTCCCCCTCCTCCTCCTCCTCCTCCTCCTCCTCCTCCCTCCTCCTCTCCTCCTCCTCCTCCTCGTCCTCCTCCTCCTCCTCCTCCTCCTCCTCCTCCTCCTCCTCCTCCTCCTCCTCCTCCCCCCCTCCCTTCCCCCCCTCTCTCCTCCCCTCCTCCCACCCCCCCGCCAGAGCCCGTGCGCCTGCCGAGGATGTCTGGCATGCAGGGCATGGGCCAGCCGGGCGCAGGCCGGCCCGGGCGAGGTCGTCGTGGTCGTCGTCGTCGTCGTCGTCGTCGTCGTCGTCGTCGTCGTCGTCGTCGTCGTCGTCGTGGTCGTCGTGATCGTCGTGGTCGTCGTCGTCGTCGTCGTCGCCGCCGTAGTGGCAGGAGCATGAGGAGGAGCAGGAAGAAGGGCGAGGAGGAGGAGAGGGAGAGAAGGGGAAAGGAGGAGGGGGAGGAGGCGGTGGCGGAGGTGGAGGAGCAGTGAGAGGGGGAGGAGGATGAGGACGGCTCCTGCTCTTTCTCAAGCCTTCCCCTCCCGTTTCTGCTCCCCCTCCTCGTGATACCTTCTTCCCTCCTCCATTCCTGCTCTCCTTCCTGCTCCGCCTCTCTCCTCCATTCCTGTTCCTTATGAACAACTCCTCCCCGTCGCACCCCGAGGCCAGTCGGAAGGGCGGGCCGGGCGGTTCGTTCGAGATTTCCTCACCATGTATGAGCCTGCGGCTTAAACATTGTCAAGTGTTTCGCGGATTGAGGGCGGTCAGTTTTCAAAATATGGTTTTCGCTATAGCGCCGCGCACATTCGTTTTGGAAACGTTGCCAGTGTTTCACGGATTGAGGGCGGTCCGTTTTCAAAATGTGGTTGTCGCTGTAGCGCGAGGTTCGCGGATTGAGGGCGGTCCGTTTTCAAAATGCGGTTATCGCCGCACCGATGCGCGCATTTGTTTTTAAACATTGAACGTGTTTCACGGATTGAGGGTTGCTCTTTTTCAAAATGTGGCTGTCGCCGCAGCGCCGCGCACATTCGTTTTGAACAGTTGTAAGGGTTTCAGTAGTTCTCATTGCCAATGTACCAGAATGGTGTTTTGGAGCGTTCAGCATTGTCAGGGTGCAACAGTTACGTTGATTCGTGGTGTTGAAGTCCTAGGAATGGTGTTCTGGCGCGATGCAGGATTGTCAAGTCGCACCAGTCAAGTTGAATCGTGGCGTTGAAGTCATGATATTCAAACGGTTGTCTTCCAACGGGGTATTTCCCTCAGTGGACATGAATCCGTGTAGGGCCTATGAAGAGGGAACTTGGAGAGAGGGTATATTCCAACATCGTTAATGGGTCTTGGGTTTACACTGGTCATCCTCCTCATTCTCATGCCTCCCTCCATTCCTCTCCCTCCCCGTCCTCCTTCTTCTCCTTCCCTCCCCCGCCCTCCACCTCCCCTCCTGCGTTCCTCCTCCTGCTCCTCCCCCTCGCCCCCCTCCCCGTCCTGCTCCCCCTCCGGTTGCCCTCCGTCTGCTCATTATCCTCCTCCTTCCCGGCGCCCGAACAGCCAGGCATGATGCAGCCTGGCATGGGTCAGCCGGGGATGGCGCAGCCCGGCATGATGCAGCACGGCCATGGCGCGGGGACTAAGTTGCGCGGGGGAGGAGGAGGAGGAGGAGGAGGAGGAGGAGGAGGAGGAGGAGGAGGAGGAGGAGGAGGAGGAGGAGGAGGAGGAGAGGATGAGGGGGGAGGGGGAAGGGGAATATGGGGGAGTGGAGGAGGAGCGGAGGAGGAGGAGGAAGTGGAGGAGGAGGAGGAAGGAGGGAGGAGGAGGAGGAGGAAGACGAGGAGGAAGACGAGGAGGAGGAGGAGGACTAAAGGCCGAGCGAGATACATGTTTCGAAACAGACCGCCGTCCGTCTGTGTAGCGGTTCGACGTCTGTAGGTTCGAAAAGTCACTTCTTCACCAGTACACGTGGCGTACCGACTGAAAGCGTTTAAGACAAGCCGTATTTTGGCAACGCATCCCATCAGTTCTTCGCGCCTTCTGTGTCCCCCACCGGCCCATTCCAAAACCCTGCCCATGAGGTTCAACGGGAAGAGGGACGAACGAGCACGTGTGGTGGAACAGAGCGGGCAGCCGGAGCGAACAGAGAGATCTCTGGGAGCAAGGTGGTGGTTTTGGAGGGCCTCTTCGGAGCATCCCTGGGGCCCGCGTGGGGGCGAGGGAAAGGAGAGGAGAGGAGGAGGAGGAGGAGGAGTAGAGGAGGGAGGAGAGGAGGAGGAGTAGGAGGAATACGACGACGACCCACGACGACGAGGAAGAAAGAGGAAAAGGAAAAGGAAGACGAATGAGAGGCAAGGCGAGGAACGAGACATGGGAGGCGGAGGAAGGTAGGCTGGAGGAAGAGGCGTAGGGTCAGTAGAGGAGGAGGCGAGGAGGAGGAGAGGAGGAGGAGGAGGAGGAGGAGGAGAACAACGAGGACGAGGACGGAGCCCTCAATCTCGCAACTTGGGACATTTTCGGGAGATTTTGGGGTCCTCTTAGAGCTCTGTTGGGGGTTCTTGGGACCCTCTTGGGGCCCTCTTGGAGCCTCTCTTGGAGCCCTCTTGGGGGCCCCTTGGGAGTCCTGGAGGGCCTCTTGGGGCCATCTTGGAGGCCATTGATCGAAAGGAGGAGGGTCCCCGATTTGCCTGGCCCCCCCTGCGGCCACCAATATCGCCTCTTGGGGCCCTCTTGGGCCGCTCTGGGGCCGCCCTTGGGCGCTGTTGGGGCCGTCTGGGGGGCGTCTTGGACCCCTCTTGGGCCTTTCTTAGGCCATCTTGGGGCAATTTCGCCTCGGAGGCGAAGCGGCGATAAGTCCATCATCACGGATTTTCTGCTGGTGCTTCAAGGGTCTGGGCCTCTTGGCGGGGTCCTGAGGGGGCTCCGAGAGCACCTGGAATTGTCTTGTGGCCCTCGTCGGGCTCTTGGAGCTATGTCGGAAGCTATCTTGGAGCGTCGTCGGCTACCTTGAGCCGCCTTGGGGGGCATTTGGGGAGCACTGGAGGCCCTTTTGAAGCCATCTTGGGCTCTCTGACCGGTCGCGGCCCGCCCCCAGAAATCTTAGGGAGGGGAGGGGGCGGGCACCCCTCCCCGAAGGGAAGAGGGTTGTTGGAAGAGGAGAGAAAGAACTCGCCAGACCACCTTAGTCCAAAGGGCTGGTAGAAGGTGTGTGTGTGTGTGTCTGTATGTATGTTTGGATGTATGTATGTTTGCATGCATGCATGCATGGCTGTCTGTCTGTCTGTATGGATGTATGGATGTATGTATGTCTGTCTGTCTGCCTGTATGTATGTGTGTGTATGTATCGATGAATCGATGTGTCGATGCATGTATGTACATATGTTTGTACGTACGTATGTATGTATGTGTGTATGCATGAATGTATGTATACATGCATGCATGCATGCATGCATGTATGTATGTATGTATGTGTAGTTATGTGCGTAGGTATGCATATGTGTATGTATGCATGTATGTGTGTATGTGTGTATGTATGTATGTATGTATGTATGTATGTATGTATGTATGTATGTATGTATGTATGTTTGTATGTATGTATGTATGTATGTATGTATGTATGTATGTATGTATGTATGTATGTACGTGTGCACGCGTGCGTGCGTGTATGTGTATGCGGGTGTATATACCTATATATATATGTGTGAACATGCATGTATGCATGTACGTATGTATGCATGTATGTATGCATGAATGCATGCATGCATGCATGTATGCATGCATGTATGCATGTATGTATGTTTGGATGCGTGTAGTGCATGACATGTATGTGTGTATGCTTGTATGTTTGTATGGCTGTGTGTAGTTATGCATGTATGTAGGTATGTAGGTAGATAGGTAGGTGGGTATGTCTGTATGTATGTATGTGTGCAGATATGCATGTATGTATGCATGCATGCATGTATGTATGTATGTAGGTATGTAGGTATGTATGTATGTAGGTATGTATCTAATTGTGTGTGCGTGTGTGCGTGTGTGCGTGTGTGCGTGTGTGCGTGTGTGCGGGCGGGCGGGCGGGCGGGCGGGCGGGCGGGCGGGCGGGCGCGTGCGTGCGTGCGTGCGTGCGTTTGCGTGCGATTGCGTGCGGGTGCGTATGTGTGCGTGTGTGTGTGTGTGTGTGTGTGTGTGTATGTGTGTGTGTGTGTGTGTTTGAAGACGGATGGGTTGATGATGAGGAGGATGAGGAGGTGGGGCAGCATCAGGAGGAGAAGCGGATGAAACGCGAGGGGCGGACGAGGACGAGAACACAAAGGGGAAAGGTGGGGAGGACAGAAGGAGGAGGAGGGGGAGGAGGAGGAGGATGAGGAGGAGGAGGTGGGGTAGTGGACTTAGGAGGAGGAGGAGGGAGGAGGAAAGGAGGAGGAGGAGGAGGAGGACGAGGAGGAGGACGAGGAGGAGGAGGACGAGGAGGTGGGGAGGACAGAAGGAGAGGCAAGGGACGACCGGGGGACCCCCATAGGGGTGGGGGGCAGGGGGAGATTGCCAGTTCTGTCGCAGCTTCCTGGGAGGATTTCCAGCCTCGGGACGCCCTCCAGCAGCTGCGCCTTGCCGAAAGCGTTCCAGGGTGTGCCGAGTCTTCCCGAGCGGCCCCCGGAGGCCAGAGCTGCGGCGGGAAGGAGGCAAGGCAGGGGCAACGTCCGGGGGTGACTGGGGGGAAGTCTCGACTCCATCTCGCCCATTCGGGGCCCAAGAAGCTGCGGTTGTCGCGTTGGGGGCCTGTCGTCGATCATCCATGGGCGACGCACCGCCGACTCCAGGTCATTGCCCCCCCCCTTGGGCCAGCCCCTAGTCCCAGACATCCAGCTGCTCCAACTTTTTTGGTGCGTGGGCCCCAGATGTCCTGACCTCCTCCTCCTCCTCCTCGTCCTCCTCCCCCTCCCCCTCCTCCGCCTCCTCCTCCTCCCCCTCCTCCTCCCCTCCTCCTCCCCTCCCCCTCCTCTCCTCCTCCTCTTTCTCCTCCTCCTCCTCCTCCTCCTCCTCCTCCTCCTCCTCCTCCTCCTCCTCCTCCCTCTCCTCGGAGGAAGACAAGGTACAGTCGGCCCTGATTCCCAGAACCCCTCGCGTTGTCACAAAAAGTCACGTCGGGATGTTTGTCGCTCTTTTCGGCCTCGGGGGGCCCTCGCCGGGCCCCAGGACTGTCAAAAAACGAGTCGGGACGAAACACCGGTCCCGGGAAACGGGTTCAGATTTTTGGGGGTCGACGTTGTGAAAATGAGGGAGGGGGAGGATAGAACGAGAATCTCTGAGATCCGGCGGCGCTGGAGGTCATATCGGGCGCCGCCGCCTTCTACGAGCCTTCCGGAACGCTCTGAGAGCGTTCTACGCCGCCGTCATTGTCGTCTTCGTCTTCGTCGTCGTCGTCTTCGTCGTCGCCGTCGCCGTCGCTGATCTGGAAAGGTCGTCGTCGGGACACTTGCCTTTTGAGGTGTCACCCGCGGCCAGACATACTTCTAGGGGACCACATGCGAACCCTACCCCTACCCCTACCCCCACGATTTCTGAGGGGGGGGGGTCACTTCGCTCGGGAGCTCCCGAATGAAGTGACCCCCACCCTCCCCCTCAGAAATCGTGGGGGGTATGGGGTAGGGTTCGCATGTGGTCCCCTAACTTCACCCGTGCTGGGGAGCCCAAAAAGAACACACCTTCGAATTGCCCCTGAGATTGAGGGTCAGCCGCGGGGGCCCCCGGTGAGGCACGCGCACGCCCACAGACACACACACACAGAGCATATGCACAACACACACGCACAACACACGCACACACAACACACACACACACAAAACACACACACACACACAATTCTCGCACACGCACACACACACACACACACGCACACGCACACGCACACGCACACGCACACGCACCGCTACGCCGCAACGCACGCAACGCACGCACGCACTAACACGCACACACACACACACACAACACACGCACAACAGCAAACACACTACGCAAGCACGCACAGAGAGGGGAACAAACTCGATAAACGCGCACGCGCACGAAGCACGCGCACGCGCACGCGCACGCGCACGCGCACACGCACGAACGCACTACGCACACGGGACTCGCACACGGCACCTACGGCAGCTGACTTCACAACGACTACTCACACGCACAGCGCACACGCACATACTGACCTCACACACACAACAGCACACTGAGGAAAGGGACAAGCACACTTCGCACACCACACACCACACACACACGCACAAACACACACACAAACGGGTCCACACACACGCACACACACACACAACACACACGCACCACACACTCACACACATACACTCACGCACACACACACACACACACACACACACACGTTACCTCGGTGCTCGATCTTAAGGATTCCTTCAGTTCCTGAGGGCACGTCCCTAAGACTGTCGTCGCCTTGGGCTTGCCGATCTTAGGGATTGGAGACCCAGACCCCCGTCCCGACGCCGTGAGTTTTTCACAACGTCGACCCCCAGAGGTCCCGACCCATTCCCAGGACCAGTTTTGCGTCCCAGGTCGTTTTCTGACGGTCCCGAGGCCCAGTGAGGCCCCCCGAGGCCGAAAATAGCGAAAAACCTCCCGTCGTGATTTTTTTCAGGATTCGAGGGGGTCTTGGGGATACTTTCGAGGAGGGTGAGAAAGAGAAGGCGGAGGAGGAGGTAAAAAAAAGGATGTAAGGAGGTTGAGATGAGGCATGAGGAGTGTGGAGGAGGAGGTGCATTGAGAGGAGGAGGAAGGAGGACGGAGGAGGCGGGGAGGCGGAGGAAGTAGGAGGCTTAGGAGAAAGGAGTAGTATGTAGGCTGAAGGGAAGGGGGGTCAGGAGAGGAGGAAGGAGGAGAGGGAGTAAAATGAGGAGGAGGGAGGAAGGAGGAGGAGGAGGAGGAGGAGGAGGACCCTTGCAATGGGGGTGTCGGGCCCTCTTGTGGTCCCTTGGGTAGGGCCAGTGCCCCATGCGTCGGGATCGGGCAGCCCAGGCATGATGCAGCCCGGCGGCATGCAGCAGCCCGGCGGCATGCAGCAGCCAGGCAGCATTCCGCCCCTCTGTCGTCGCGCCGCCGGCGCCCCCGAGATCCGACGCTCCGAAAAAATTGGAGCAGGCGGTTCTTGGCGCCGTTTTCGGCCTCCAGGGGCCCTCGCCGGGCCTCGGGAGCGTCAAGACATGACTCGACGGGACGAAAAGCCAATCCCAGGGAAGTGGTCCAGACCACCGGGGCCCACGCGTCGAAAACATTGGAGCAGCCGGATGTCTGAGGCCGCCGCCGCCATCGTCGTTTGTCGTCGTCGTCGTTTGTCGTCGTCGTCGTCGTCGTCGTCGTCGTCGTCGTCGTCGTCGTCGCCGCCGTCGTCGTCGTCGTCGTCGTCGTCGTCGTCGTCGTCGTCGTCGGCGCCCTGGCACGGTAGTCCGAGAAGCGAGCACCATCAGAGGGCTAGCCGTGCCGATCCACCGGGCTGGGCGATTGCCTTGCCGGCGTAGACTTCGGTGGCGCGCGATCCTCCTCCCCCTCAGAGATCGTGGGGGGTAGGGGCAGGGTTCGCATGTGGCCCCCATATACCTGTTGGCTGAAGTGTCGTGCCGACGCGGCCCTCCCCCCTCCCAGGGCCCGTCGGCCCTCGGGGGCTCGTCAAACTAGTGCCAGGTGCCCCTGGAGCACCGCTCCAGGGGCCACCAGCGACACACGTGGCAACGTGTGGCTGGGAGCAACTTCTAAAAGTAAAGAAGACAGGAGGAGGACGACGAGGAGTAGGAGGAGGAGGAGGAGGGGGAGGGGGAGAAAGGAGAGATATGGAACCAATACTCATAACCTCAGGAGGAATAGATGAGGAGCGGTGGTAAATGGCGTCAGCTGTACAGTGCGGAGGCAGTGGCACAGAAAAAATGGGTAGTGGGCCCTCGGGCCGTGTGTTCTTGTGGCTGTGCCGGGTCCTCTCTCCTCCAGGTCAATTGGCCACCTCGGGCCAGAGCCCTGGAGAGCGCCCAGGGTCCCCATCTACGGAGGTGCCCGTGTCATCAGAGGTGGGGGAGAGGTAGACAGCACATCGACGTGTCGAAAGATGAGGTGCCAGACAGGCAGTTTGTGCCAGGCGGGTGGCAGCTAACGGTAAAGGTGAGAGCAACAGCTGAACAATGCGACGTTCACGCCTCTTGTCAACCGCCTTAGCCCCATCTCACACCGCCTCACCTATGCCTATGTGCCGCCTAGAAGCCAACATCCCACCTCGTAGCTCCAGGCTGCTACACTGGCAGGGATGCCAGGCTTGCCGGCCCCCGGCGCGAACCTCGTCCTCCTCATCCTCGTCCTCCTCCTCCTTCTCCTCCTCCTCCTCCTCCTGCTCCTCCTCCTCCTCCTCCTCCTTCTCCTCCTCCCCCCCCTCCGAGAAAGAAGAGGGGGGGAAGGGGGGGGGCGAGGAGGAGGAGGAGGAGGAGGAGGAGGAGGGGTTGGAGGAGCGGGACGAGGTGGAGCAAGAGGAGCAGGAGGAGGAGGAGGAGGAGGAGGAGGACCTCCTCTCTTCTCCCTCGTCTCTTCCGCCCCGCCCCTCCGCCCCCCTGCGCCCTCCGCCCTCCGCCTCGCGCGCCTTCGCGCGCCCCCGCGGACACGACGCCGCGGGGGACAGCCCGGCGTCCCGCGGCGGCAGCGCTGCCAGGTGGCCGCGTGCTGCCCTCGGCCTCCACACGTACTCGTCGGCGCGCCGTTGGCTCCGACGCGCGGCCTGCGGCCTCCGAGAGGGCGCCCGGGGCGCCCACGGCAAGCTCCGCCTCGGACGCAAGCTTCCCAGTGAGGCCTGCCGCGGCGTTGGCTTCGTCCCCAGACCCCCGACGTCGTGACTTTTTCACGACGTCGACCCCCAGAGGTCTGGGCCCCTTCCCCGGGACCGGTTGTTCATCCCGAGTCGTTTTTTGACGCTCCCGAGGCCCGGGGAGGGCCCCCGGAGGCCGAAAATTGCGAAAAACCTCCCGTCGTGATTTTTTCACGACGCGAGGAGGTCTGGGTCTACGTTTCAGTCGGGCACGTCCCTCTACAGGAGGAATGTTCAAGAAATCGTCCGGGGACGTTTTTTGAGCATGTTTTGACCATTTGGGGGCATTTCTTGATTGTTTTTCCTTGCAATCAGAGCTTGCCTCTGTAGGGGTCCTAGCGGACTCATATGGTTAGGTGAGGTGGGGCGCCGATCTGGTGGCCGGTGGCCGGGTGCCCGGGTGCCCGGGTGCCCGTGGGTGCCCGGTGCAGGATTTCGATGGCCGGGTGCCCGAGTGCCCGGGTGCCCGGCCGTGGGTGCCCGGCGGGTGCCCGGGTGCTCAGGGGTGCCCGGAGGTGCCCAGGGGTGCCCGGGTATTTTACAGCCATGTAGCCCTACAGCCTTTTAGCTCTATAGCCCAATAGCCCAACAGCCCATATAGCCCATATGGCCCTATAGCCCAATAGCCCTATGCCCTGTAGTCCTATAGCCCCTATCGCCCCATAGGCCAATAGCCCTACAGCACTATACCCCTATAGCCCGATAGCCCCATAGCCCTACAGCCCTGTAGTCCTACAGCCCCATAGCCCCAACAATAACCTGATGGTTTTTCTCTGGTATCTACAGGAGGAGAGTCAGGGGACGATTTTTTGAGCATTGTTTGAGCATCTGGGGGTATGTTTTGAGTGTGTTTGTATTTCTCGCCCAAAGTCCCCCTGTAGGAGGACAGGCCCGACTTACAGGTCTACCTGGACGCGTCGAGGACACACGGCGCGGCGACATATCCACGGGCACACTCCAGGGGAATTGCTCCTCTGGCCCTCGGGGGAGGGCGGTGGTGTGTCCATCGCCACTGGGACTAAGTCGGGCCAGTCCCCCTACAGGGGATTTTTGGACGAAAAATAAAACACCCCGAAAATAGTCAAAAAATAATCCAACAAAGTCTGGGGACTATTTGTTGAGTATTTCTTGACCTTTTGAGGGTATATTCGAAAAAATCGTCGAAAATCCCCCTGTAGGGGGACACGCCCGACATAACACTGGGACCTGGCGGCTGTACATACCGCCGCCCTCCCTGAAGGTGCCCGCAGAGTGCGTCGACGGGCGTCCGTGCACACACATTCCGGTGGCGCACGCCTGTCGCTGCTCGCGCACCAGGCTGGCCACCGCCCGAGCTCGTCGAGCAGGCCCGCTGGGAGCCCAGAGCGGGGCAGCCCACGGGGCACGGCACCGAGGCTCGTGCGCTCCAGTGCAGTCTGGCGGCCGCACGGGCCTCCTTCGACCGGTGCGTCTGCGGCTTGCACGCCAAGTCGCTGGGCTTAGGAGGGGGGTGCACGGTGCAATGGTCTCCGCTGCGTTGCGTCGCTCACTAGCTACACCTCCAGTGCACTGGCACGACGCCGCCCAGAGAGACTGAGGAGGAGGAGGAGGAGGAAAAGTAAAAAGAACAAAGAAACACCAGTGGTAGACCTCGCAGCTGCAGGCCACGGCTCGAGGATCTCGAATCAACTCCTCCGTCCTCCCCCCTTCCTGCCTCCTCCCCTTCCTCCGTCTCCCCTTGCCCTTGCCCTCCACCTCCCTCCCTGCCTCCATGCCCCTTCGCTTCCTCCTCGTCCTCCTCATCATCCCTCCCTCCCTCTCTCCCCCCTTCGTGCTGCCGCCGCTGCCCTCCAGCCGCTGTCCAGGCATGCAGCAGCCCGGCGGCATGCAGCAGGCCGGCGGCATGCAGCAGCCGGGCGGCATGCAGCAGCCGGGCGGCATGCAGCAGCCGGGCGGCATGCAGCAGCCGGGCGGCATGCAGCAGCCGGGCGGCATGCAGCAGCCAGGCAGGGTGCTGGTGATAGTGGTGGTGGCGATAGTGGTGGTGGTGATGATGATGATGATGCTGTTTCTGATGATGATGATGATGATGATGATGATGATGATGATGATGATGATGATGGCGATGATGATGATGATGATGATGATGATGATGATGATGATGATGATGATGATGATGATGATGATGATGATGATGATGATGATGATGAAAATAATGATGATGATGATGAGGACTATGCCAGCCGGCGGTGCAGGATGATGAGGACGGTTCTGCTGATGCTGCCGCTGATGATGTTTCTGACGATGGTGATGACGCTGATATGATGCTGATGATGAAGATGATGATGGTGGTGGTCATAATGATGATGATGATGATGCTGATGATGGCGATGATGCTGCTGATGATGATTATGAAAACGACGGCGATGTGTACGACAATGTTGATGATGATGCTACGAGTAGTCATCAGTACGGTGATTACGATAATGATTACGATGATGCCGATGATACGAATGATAATAATGATGACGACGATGATCATAAGATAATGGTGGTGGTGATGCTGATGCTGATGATGATGACTATGATGTTGATGCCGATGATGATGGTGATGATGATGCTGATGATGATGCTGACGATGAGGATGACGATGATGGTGGTGGCGTTTGTGGTGGAGTTGAGGAAGACGATGATGATGATGATGATGATGATGATGATGATGATGATGATGATGATGCGAATGCTTTTGTTGATGATTATGATGATGATTGCGACAATGAAGATGATGATGGTGATGGTGGTGAGTATGATGGGATGTGATGGTATTGCGGCTGATGATGATAATGATGGCGGCGATGGCAATGGCGATGATGATGATGACAATGCTGATGATGATGATGATCATGATCATGATGATGATGATGATGATGATGAGGATAACGATGGTGATGATGATGATGGTGCTGATGGCGATGGGTTTTATGATGATGATACTGCTGGTGATTTTGATTACGATGACGATGATGATGATTCTGATGATGACGATGCTGATGGTGACGATGATGATGATGATGATGATGTTGAGGATGATGATGCTGGTGATGGTGGTGTTGGTGGTGTTGGTGGTGCTTGTGGTGGTGACGATGATGATGCTAGTGATGCTGCTGCTGATGCTGCGGCTGCTGCTGCTGATGATGATGATGATGCTGCTGATGATGATGATGATGATGAAGAAGAAGACGATGAGGAGGAGGAGGATGAAGATGATGTTGCTGATGGTGATGGTGATGATAACGATGCTGATGATGATTATGATGATGATGATGATGCTGATGATCATGATGGCGATGATGCATGACGATGATGATGATGCTGATGCTGATGATGATAACTACTATGTTGGTGGTGATGCTGATGCTGTCGATGATGATGCTGATGAGGATGTTGATGGTGTTGATGCTGACGATGACGATGATGATGATGATGATGGTGATGATGATGATGATGATGATGATGATGATGATGTTAATGCTGATGATGATGATGCTGATGCCGATGCTGACGATGATGCTGACGATGACGACGATGCTGATGAGGGTGATGATGATGCTGCTGATGATGATTCTGCTGCTGTTGCTGATGCTGCTGCCAATTGACTACTGACTATAGCTACTGATGATTGGAATGCTGACTATGATGACAATGATGATGATGCTGATGGTGATGATATTGATGCAGGTGGTGATAAGGATGTTGATGGTGATGCGGCTGATGCTGATGATGATGCTGATTCGGAGGATGATGATGATGACGATCACGATGATGATGATGATGATGATGATGATGATGATGATGATGATGATGATGATGATGATGATGATGCAGCTGATGATGCTGATGATGATGCCGATGACGACGATGATGCTGATGCTAATGGTGATGATGATGCAGCTGATCATGATGATGCTGCTACTGATGCTGCTGCTTGTGCTGATGCTGTTGTGCTGCTCTGATGTTGGTGGGGCTGGTGATGACGACGATGCTGATGATGCTGATGCGGATGATGGCGACGATGCTGATGATGATGATGATGATGATGAGCATGCTGATGATTATGATGATGATGCTGATGCTGATGCGGATGATGATGATGATGATGATGATGATGATGATGATGATGATGCTGATGATGATGATGATGATGCTGACGATGATGATGCTGATGATGATGATGGTCATGATGATGATGTTGAGTATGATGATGATGCTGATGATGATGCTGATGATGATGATGGTCTCGATGGTGGTGGTGGTGATGGTGGTGGTGTCGGTTATGGCGATGCCGACGATTACGACGATGAGGCAGTTGCTGCTGATGATACGTCTTCTGGTTATGTTGTTGATGCTGATTGTGATAACCGTGGCGATGGATAGTCTGGTGATGGTGATGGTGATGGTGATAAGCAGGAGTAGGAGGAGGGAACGGAGGAGGAGGACGATGGGAAGGAGGAGAAGAAGGAGGAGGCGGAGGAGGCGACGGAGGCGGAGGCAGGGGTGGAGAAGACGGAGGAGAACGAGTGGAGGACGAGCAGGAGGAGGAGCAGGAGGGGGCGCAGGGGTGAACTTTGGGCGAGGAGGAGGAGGAGGAGGAGGAGGAGGAGGTGGAGGCACAGGAATGGGGGATGGGGGGGGGGGACAGGAGGGGGAGGGGGGGGGGGACGGCGGCGGAGAAGGAGGAGGAGGAAGGGAAGAAGCGGACGACGGAAAGGAAGAGACGGAGTGAGGCAGGCGGCGGAGTGGAGTGGGGTGTGGGTGTGTTGGTGGGGGGGGGGCAAGGACGGACCAGAAGGAACAGGCGGCTGGTGAGGAGGAGAGCGACTAACAGAAGGGGGAAGAGGGCGACGAGGACGAGGCAGAGGACGCGGAGGTGTGTGGTGATAGTGGTGATATGGGCGTGGTGGTGATGATGGCGGTGGTCGTGGTGGTGACGGCATTGGTGGTGGTGGTCATGAGGTCGTTGTTGATGGTGATGGTGATGATGGTGAGGTTGGTGGTGAGGTTGGTGGTGATGTTGAGTATGATGCTGATGTTAATGATTACTGCAAGGATGATGCAGATGATGATGATGCTGATGGTGATGCTGCTGCTACTGATCATGCTGATGCTGATGCTGATGATGATGGTGATGATGGTAACGATGATGACGATGATGATGCTGATGAGGGTGATGATGATGCTGCTGATGATGATGCTGCTGCTGATGCTGCTGCTGAGTATGATGCTGGTGATGCTGTGTTGCTGTTGCCGTTACTGATGACGATGGTTATGATGGTGATGCTGATTGTGATGATGATGATGTTGCTGATGATGGTGATGACGATGATGATGCTGATGACGATGATGTTGGTGATGATGATGATGATGATGATGATGATGATGATGATGACGATGATGATGATGATGGTGATGCTGATGCTGATGCTGATGATGATGATGGTGATGGTGCTGATGGTGATGATGCTGGTGCTGATGATGGTGATGATGAGGTTGATGATGCTGATGGTGTTGATGCTGCTGTTGGTGAGGATGACGATGATGTTGATGCGGTTATTGATTGCGATGTTGCTGTTGGCGGTGATGACGATGCTGCTGATGATGATGATAATGCTGATGCTGATGCTCATGATGTTGATTGTGACGCTGTTGATGATGATGCTGCTGATGATGCTGATGATGAGGATGTTGTTGTTGATGATGCTGATGATGATGATGATGATGATGATGATGATGATGATGGTGCTGATGAGCATCATGATGATCAGGTTGCTGCGGATGCTGATGGAGATTATGATGGTGATGTTGATAGTGGCAATGATGGTGATGATGCTAAGTTTGGTGATGGCGGCAAGGCGCCGACGCGTCGATGGCGACGAAGCCCCCCCTCACTGGCGGCCGGCCGTTGGGCCTTGTCAGCGCTACTCGTGTGTTCTCAAGCATCCTGTGGTGTTGGGCCACCGTTTTGAAGAGACAGCGCCCCGCGTTCCCGCCTTCCTTCCGTCCTCTTCCCCGTCCTCCTCCCTCCTCCCATTCCTGCCTCTGCCCTCCGCATCGGTCCACCATGTCGGCACACCCCTCACACGCTTCGTGGCCCCAGGGGGAGCTCCACCGAAGGCCCCCGTGCTGCCGCCCGCATGCGCCTCCCCCCCACCCAGTGCAGTGCTCCGTGGCCTCACAGGGAGCTCCCCCGAGGGCCCCAGTGCCGCCGCCCGCCCGCCCGCCCGCGCCCCCCCCCCACCCACCCAGTGCAGCGCCCCATAGGCATCTCCACCGGAGGCCCCAGTGTCAAAGTCCACCTGCGGCTTCCCCACCCAGTACAACGCCTCGCGGCCCACTAGGACCGAAGGTCACGGCGCTACCGCCCGCATGCGTCCCCCCCCCCCGCTCAGTACATCGCTTCGGAGCCCCATAGGGAGCTCCACCGAAGGCCCCAGTGCTACCGCCAGCATGCGTTCCCCCCCTCCAGTACAGCGCGTCGTGGCTCCATAGGGAGCTCCACCGATGGCCCCAGCGCTACCACCCGCATGCGCACCCCCCCCACCCAATACAGCGTCCGTGGCCCCGTGGCCATATAGGAAGCTCCACCGACGGCCCCAATGCTACCGCCCACATGCGCCCCACACCCAGCACAGCGTCCCGATGCCTCATCGGGAGCTCCACCGAAAGCCTCATTCGCATGTTCCGCATGCGTCTTCCCCACCCAGTACGGCTTTTCGTGGTTCGACAGGGAGCTCCACCGAAAGCACCAGTGGCGCCGTCCGCATGCGTTTCCCCACCCAGTACATCGCTTCGTGGCCCTATAGGGTGCTCCGCCGAAGGCCTCAGTGGCACTTTCCTCATGCGCCCCCCCCACCCAGAGAAGCGCTTCGTGGCCCCATGGGGAGCTCCATCGAAGGCCCCAGAAGCAAAGTCCACATGCATTCCCCCCTATCCCGTACAGCGCTTCGCGGCC